TATTTAAATGAGAATTCTCCAAAGGAGAACATAAGGTTTTATCCCAATTTCTCTAAGTTTAACACATCCATTGCTCTCACAGAGATGTTCTAAAGCTACCAGACCATTTACACTAGTTTCAGTGTAGTTTAGAGTTTTTTTGGGTGTTTTTCGGCATTCTAAATGCTAAATTTAGAAAATTAAAGTATTTTGTTGCATTTCACGCATTTGCGTGTTTTATTACTGTGTGTGAAGTTTTCAAATGGGTTTTGCCAATTCAATCTGTTTCGTTGAAGAAAATAAAAGCTGAAAAGTTTACCAAACAAGACATAGGTCTCTGTCCTGTATGCAACTATGAACTATGTATCGGAGGCATCTTTGACACCTGTTTTGCCGTATCTGTGCATCAAAGGTCAAATGTCTTTCATTTCTCTAGATGAATGACAATTAATTCTATTTAAAATTAATAATAATTAATAAATATGACCTAATAAATCATAACTATTGAATTGATGAAAATCAATAATATAAAATAAATTATAAAATGTTGTAAAACTCTTACGTGGTAAGAATAACACTCCTTTTCTTTTTATTATTATTGACTGAAATATTACTAAGTACCTAAGCTCACTCTTTATTAGTAAGACCAACATAAAATTTCACTCAATAATAAAGAGTGTTGAAAAGAGTTTGTGAAAGACTATATTGCTAACATTAGGATTGTTAAGCCATGAAAATTCAACAAATTGCTTTGTCCGAATCTACTGTGTCTTAATACTGTCAAACGGACAGCTAACATAATCAAACTGAGGATGAAATTTATGGTACTGAATAGTCACAAAATATTCGGTATTCAAATGTGTCAAATGTTAGGCAACGCGGCATGTTGCCTTCTGAGTTCTTTGGTGTATTATTTCCATCTTTTCTGCTGTCCTTGATAAGACTTCTTGCCTATGCGATGCTTCTAATAGAGAACACTTTTCATACCACCGTAGTACATACGACTGAGAATTAAAAAAATACAGCTGGATTTTTCTTCTTCTTTTCTTTAATCTGTATCTATGACACACAAAACAAGGCAGTTTAATTGGATTGTCGCACCCAATCAACGGTGCGATGGTAGCATTAAAAATATTTCACTTCTAATAATGTAGGTGCTAATCATGGTCTATTTTGTTGATTTCAATCTTGTAGCATCCGGATGTGACATGACGGCGGAAGAGATTAATGATTAAAAATAATGGAGTTGACGTCAAAATTTATTTGAAAAAATATTAAAAAAATCTTTTTATTAAAGAAAAATGATCTTTGAAAACATAAATGAATTCGGGAGTCGATTACTAATAAGGAAGTTGTTAGCATCCTACATTGTCTGCTTAAAAAAATGGTTATCTTATATTAATTATGCAAATTATTGATAAAATTTTAAATATTTATTTCACCTTAAAAAATAAAATAAGAATGATTCTCCGACGTATCTCTTGGTGCAATAAAGAACTAAAAACTACGTCATTATGTAGAAAATATTTGTGTGTTGAATGATTTTAATTTTAAAAATAATTCATTTAGAAGTCTTAGATTTAAGGGTTTCGGATCATCAAGCTGCCGCAGCTAAAATAATCTGAAATGATAATTATAGGATTAACAAGTTGTCTTAACTCAACTAATCCTTTTAAAATAAATTTTATTTTTATTTTTTATTGATAAATTTAGATAAATTTTAAATCATCCAACCGTCAAACGACTCAGTTACGATTTTAATTAATAGCAGAGTAATCTTCTTTATTCTTTACTTTTTAAATTAATAATTTTTAAATAAAAACTATGATTGTTTATTTGTTGGTTTATTATCACTAAACATTTTAAAAGTTGAAATGATTCTAAAAAATAGGATTAATATGCTGTCATAACTTAGCTAATCCTTTTTATTCATAATAGATTTAACTTTTGGTAAGTTTACGCTTTGTATGGGATCGAAAATTACATAACCGAGTCATCACTTAAAAATTTAAAATCAATCGTGTTATCACAGCCAAAATGACCTCACGTCGAAACAAGGAATTGGCAAACCGTTATGGTTAAACTCATTCCTTTTAAAACTGTTTTTGCTTTTTACAAAAATTTGATTAAAGACATTTTTAACACTATTAAATAATTAGAATATTAAAACAAAATGAGAAAAACTAATGAAAATAAAACTCTATGAAATTATTGAAAATATTAAAAATAACTGAACATATATACAAAAGGAAAAGATTAGTTTTTATACTCTACGCTAAAGAAATTTTTTGTTATTTAAATTAATTATATTTTTTCTATTACTGAACCAGTGTTATTAAGACTGGCACGATTATTAACCCGACCGAGATATCGGGTCACTGTTTAAATTGCATGACTCAATGATTATATATAAATCCATAATTTATATTAAAAAAATTATAAACATATTAAAATAATTGAAAAAATAATATAAATTTTAAATATTTTAATATTACAAAATATTGTTGTATTAATTCCTTATAAGAAAAAACAATGTATATGTAAATATTGTTGTTAAAAAAACAAAAAACTATAACGATTCATAGTTTGATTTATTTTGATGATTTTATTTGAACTATTACTATCTCTTTTTTATATAAAAAAGTTCAAGTCGGATTACTAGTGTCAGTAAAGAACCCAACCTCTATTTCAACTAACTCTATTACTGTATATAGATTCCTCAAATTTACTATTACCCTAAATTACCCCTAAAGTTATTTTTCCCCCAAATTACTCTCCCCAACCTGTTTGTTCACTTAGGCTTCTTCTTCAAGCTTCAGCCGCCGCCCCAAAATTATTCAGCCTCCTTGCACCGCCTGACCGTCAATTCTCGCCACCGTCGCTCTGCTGCCTGCGTGTGCCACAATCGTCGTCAATCTCGAGCCATCTCAGACGGTCACCTACCATCGCCGTCGCTCCACTGCCTGCGTGTGCCATAACCGTCGCCGCCAGTTCAGATCGGTTCTTAGTCATCATCGTCTTCCATCCGGTTGCTGCTCGAGCCAACGTCCGCCCTGTTCGTCCGCCACTGTCTCGTGTGCCACCACCACAGCTGATTCAGTTCTGTCCGTCGCCGCCATTGCAACATCAGCCAAGGTCAAAATTATAAATTTTTTTTTTTTTTGGTAAACAACTTCTCATTTCAAACGAGAAGTTGTTTTTGGTGCTGCACTCACATCCCATGAGCATTGATATGTATGATATGCTTTTTGTTTTATTTTTCTCAAAACAACCAATAGACCTCACCAAAAAAACTCTCTCAGATTGAAAAAAAACTTCTTTTGTGAAAGGAGAGGATGGACCTCGATCTTCCATTTGATTTTTAATATATTGATTCCTCCTCCTTGAATCTGAAGAGCATATCCAATTTGGATTTTGGATGGCGGGTGCATTCTGGCCCAATCTCGGTTCGGTAGCATATCATGTGTCCAAATACTACAAAACCAATCATGTAATGTTCTGGTGCAACATTTTCACTTGTTGAACTATAGGGATTATAAAGTAGCAAGGACTTCTATGTAATACTAAGAGCATTGTATGAATATAGAGGATGCATATGAATGAATGTGCGGTCAAAATATGAAGTGCTTTGAAAATAACTTTTTTATTTTGTAAGTAAAATAATTTCTTAAACATGTTTTAGGTTGGATCTCATAATTCATGTACATGAAAAAAAAACCACTAGGAGTGTCTCTGCCTACTACTCCTAATGTAACACGAGAGATTAGTCTCTTACAAAACTTTAAAAAAATATTTAGTCATAGTTTTTGGAGCATTAATGTGCGTACATTAAAGACAATAAAATTGTGATGCAATCATATGTATTACATACAATGGTTGTTGTATGTTTTGGTGCTCAAGCCCGGGTAAGCAAGTAAGGCATCAGCTTTGGAATACCTTGGTGGCTAAGCTGGAACCCAAACGAAACCTTTACAATTGAGATATTAACTGTAAAGCATACAGACCGCATTATGATATCATATTCCATTCATATATGTTCAACTTAAAAGTGGTGTGGTACTATTTGGACAGGTGGCGTGTTTAGGGACCAACAATTCTAAGCCGGTTTTTCGTAAAAGGCTATGCTAATTACAAATTCGTGGAACAAAAAACTATTATAAGGCCCATCTCATTGTACAGGTAATGGGCACTTGGGCACCAACAAAATTATTGGGTTGGTTTATATATGCCCAAAGACCAAGACCAATAAAAACTTGTTATCGCCAACTTAAAAAAAAAAGAAGGAAATAGGAAAGAATTTTTTTATTTTTCTTATTTATAAAAAAAGCAGATATGAAAAGGAAATAACTCGCTGTTAAGCTTATTAAGCCCATCTTTGTTGCAGCTTAATAGCGCTATAGTGTAATACTGATACATTTATCCGCCATTAAAAATAAGTGTCCAATGCAAATATCCATTTGTAACCAAATTGAAAATGAAATGGGGCATAAGTGTGATTCAGAAAACATGAATGATTCCGAAAAATATTTCCACACAAACAGAAGCGCCGTCCTGACCAGTAACCGTTAAGTTTTGCGCTATGCTTATGTGTCACAACTGAGGGAAGAGATTTGGCCATGTCACATAATGTTTCTTTGTACTAAAATCTTAAAATCGTGCATCCTAGAGAGGCTGTGCAGTGTGGTATATATAATTATTTCCCCCCAGCCATTTGAATTTTATATAAGCGACACTTTATGCCGACAGCTATATTACTTGAGATAGTATGTTACCATATGTATTGTGACACTTGAATTTCAAGAAAGGAACAATACTGTGGAATGAAGAATCCCATAGATGTCTTGAGTTTCATGCAAGTTATTCTGAAAGCGTAAAGTGCTAATAAATTAAGGTTTCAGAGGTAGGTCCAATGATATCCTATATTGGTTGATAGCAATATATGAACATCATTTGATTTGCTTCCTCAATCAAACACTAGTTGCCCTGAGTTCTAGTCTTGTAATAGAGTTAGCCCTTAAGAAATGGCTCCTCCTGCTCCACAGTCGCAGCCTCAAGCAACAAGGCCAAAACGCCCAAACCTGCTTCGTTTCATTGCCATGATAATCTTGGCCTTGATTATCCTCGTAGGTATAGCTGTGCTCATAATTTGGCTGGTTTTGAGGCCTAAACACTTGGAGTACAGTGTGGAGGATGCTGCAATCCACAACTTCAACTTAACGGATGCAAATCATCTCTATGCAAACTTTGATTTCACCATAAGAGCATACAATCCGAATTCTAGAGTCTCTCTGTACTATGACTCTGTGGAGGTGTCAGTGCGTTATGAGGATCAAACGCTTGCCACAAATGCTGTTCAGCCATTCTTCCAGTCTCATAGAAATGTGACCAGGATGAATGTGAGGCTCACTGCTCAAACTGTGGCGTTATATGACTCAGTGCCTAAGGACATTAAGCTTGAGAGATCCTCAGGGGATATTGAGTTAGATGTGTTGGTCAGGGCAAGGATAAGGTTTAAGGTAGGGGTGTGGAAGTCAAAGCATCGCATTATGAAGATTTTTTGTTCTCCTGTGTTGGTCCATTTTTCTAAAGCCAAGAGTTTCGAAAGGGCCTCCTGTGATGTAGAACTCTAAACAAGCACGCACACCAAATGGAGCAACATGCTAAGGGCTAAGATGCTCCCTCTACCCTTCAGAATCTTTATTATTATTATTATTATTTTATTTTTTTGGGTGTTATGATTTTTCTGTCCTTCCTGAGTTTGCCACTGTTATATTGATGTTATGATTCTTTTGTCAGCTTTATTGTAATTTTTCTTCTGTGTTATATGTTTTGTTTTTTCTATGCTGAAAATAGTTGTGTGGACATATGAAAGAAGGAAAATTGGCTGTTATCCATCCTATTTATCTGCATTGTCTGTAACATCCTTCAAAGTACTTACATATATTATTACTAATATTACGTTCTTTTTTCCCCTTACTGCACTTAGTGTCACTTTTACTGGTCATGAAACTCATGACAAGATTGGATTTCAGATTTTCAAAAGTTGTTGAAATTCGTTGTTTGTAATCGCATCAGAACAGCAGATAATCAGTCATATGAATTTGTCAGTTTCTGTAGGTAAAATCTAAAAAAATGTTCATGGACAAAATTGTAATACCCTGTGTGCATTCGGTGTATTAATATACATATGATATGATAATAAGCGCAACATGTTTAAATAATTAAATGCGAAAGCTCTTTTCATAAATCCCTAGATTAGACCTAGTATAAAAACGTGATTAATTTTTTCGCTTTTCCTTAAGTATTGCAATCTTTTTCGCCTCTTTGGTCAAAATGAAACGGACAACATTTTGTCTGTATTTTGGATTACTAATGTAATATCCTGTCTGCAGCCGGTTAATTAACAGTCATATGATAGTAAGCGCAGCATGCTCAACTTAATTAATGTGGAAGCTAACTAAATAGGTTTACTCTTTTTTTCCTTATGTATTGCGAACTTTTCACTTCCATGGCAAAAAAAAAACGGACAACATTTTTTCCGTATTTTGGACCACTGGGAATAATTCTCATCATGATAATCTTAACCTGATTGCAGTTTAATATAATCCAGACATAAACCATATTACCCAGCTGTAACATCCCGAGCACTGACGAGGGCGGGGAGTGATCGCCGGTGCAAAGAGGCACGGACAAGAAGTGGCTCTTGACAGGCTTCCGGCGGGGGTTACATGAACGGATGAATCGAATCGACACCCGAAAGAGAGGGATTCCAAAGACTGTGCAGGTATGAGGCTGCACAGTTTGAGATAGCTTATAAGAATTAATTGGTATTACCTATACTAACAAAATGCATCTGCTTTTCGGTAGCCCGGAACGGAAGAACTCCATAGTTAAGCGTGCTTGACTTGGAGCAATTCTGGGATGGGTGACCTCCTGGGAAGTTTTTCCGGGAAGTGTGCGAGTGAGGAAAAAGCACACTGAAAAGTCTCGTGTTAGTATATGGGGATAATCGTTGATTCTTGAAGCGGCCGGGCGTTACAAGTGGTATCAGAGCAGGCCTCTCTTCCAGTACGGTGTGGTTCGAGGACGAACCAGGCGGAAGCTAGTGGGCATGTAACATCCCGAGCGCTGACGAGGGCGGGGAGTGATCGCCGGTGCAAAGAGGCACGGACAAGGAGCGGCTCCTGACAGGCTTCCGGCGGGGGGTTACATGAACGGATGAATCGAATCGACACCCGAAAGAGAGAGATTCCAAAGACTGTGCAGGTATGAGGCTGCACAATTTGGGATAGCTTATAAGAATTAATTGGTACTACCTGACCTCCTGGGAAGTTTTCTCGAGAAGTGTGCGAGTGAGGAAAAAGCACATTGAAAAGTCTCGTGTTAGTATGTGGGGATAGTCGTTGATTCTTGAAGCGGCCGGGCGTTACACCAGCCATCCATGGCATAGGCTATCTCATAATCATACTGTCTCAAAATAATGTCCATGATTAGGGGTGAAAGTGGGTTGAGCTGGGCCAAGTTTTGCCTCGAAAAATCCAAGCCTATACCAAAAAAATTCAATTTGGCCTGACCAAAAAATGGTCTGACCTAGCCCGTTAGCCTGTTAATTTTTAACTTCCAAGCATAACCATGAATCAACTTCACAAAATACTCAAATTTTGTTGCTAAACTAAAAATCACAATTTCAACGTCCAAACAAAATTATGAAACACAACAAAGCTCATCCCAATCTGTATTTAAGTCACTTTCAAAAGCAAAATGCTCAAACTAAATAACATATATTTTATAAGATCCAACAAAGAAATCCATACTATGTAAATTAAAAAAACTACATGAAACCCCCAAGGGTAGCTCAGTTGGCAGCTGAGCTCCCAAGGGATTGCTTGGTGCAGGGATCAAACCCTGCCTCAAGCAGTTTCTTGAAAAATCTTTGGGGGCCAGAGGATAAGCCAAAAATCTTTGGTTGGGGGATTAGTCTCGTCCTTTCTCCGGTTGGGAAGCTTAGTGCACCCACTGTTACAATGAGGGGCTAGTCCAAACGGGCCGTACCCCGAGGACATGGTGCCCGGAGAAGGTTGAATGGGGATACCTCCCGGCAATGTACTAAAAAAAATAAAAAAAAATAACTACATGAATCCAACAAACACATCTAATTAGACTTCTTCTTTAAATTAAAATAACTACATGATTATTTTTACTCTTTTCACAATGTGGCTTTAACTCATCTAATTAGACTTCTTCGGTAAATAATTCTTCATTAATTACTATCATTCCTTAATAAATTTATAAATTGATTATGTACATGCTAGAGTCATTATAGGACAAAAAAAAGGCCCAATTCCACGGGGAAAAAAAACAGAAGTTACAGAAAGCCATGAAACCATTCATTACGGTTAAGTTGCACTTCATTGACAAAAGTCTGAAATTCAAATTTGCCTTAGCTTCTAAAATGCGCATGCAAAAACTTAACAACATTTTGGCTTTCCTATTAAATTGAGCAAATGAGAAAAAACAAAAATGTTTTCTAGGCTCTGTACTAAACCAACATATTCATAATGGAAGACCACGATTCAACTACTACTAACTTTAGGGTAAGAAAATTGGGATTGCAAATTTTGACAATTTCATAAACTAAGAAGTCATTTTACGATTCAACTTCTACTAACTTTAGGTGTAGAAGTTAATTCTCCAATGTTGAGGCTTGCTTTACTGCTATAACTGTTGGGAGAAATTCAAAATCAACTAGTGTTTGCCTATTCAATGGTTCCTCTTTATGGAAACTTCCCAGTTTGAATTGTCATGTACCATTTGAAACGTTCCTTTGAATTGTCATGGTGTGATATGTTGCACAAATAATAAATCCATGAAGTGAAATCCGTGTCATTATGGATAATGCATGTACTCGTGAATCTTTACAGACAAATAGAGCATCAATCTCTATCAGGATTGCCAGGTCAATGAAGCAATATCGTGAAATATAAAGTCTTGCAGCCAAGATTATAAGCAGTAATTGAGGGAGGACTCGTTGACTTTCAACTTCCCAACTTTCCTTCTCGAATAGAACTAATGACAATCACAATCATAGTTTTCTTCCAATTTAGCTGAATGATCACGCTAGAATCCACATACTGGCAATGCCTTTTCTATTACCCAAATCACAAGTTAAGCAGACTTCTTGAAAGCAGCTCGTAACTCGGTCGTACGATTTTGTCCAAAAGTTCATTTTCTTAGGTCAAAAATAATTTGTTAAAGTCTCATAAAATTTCACAAAGTATGATTAAATTATAGATTTTAAGCTAATCATATTTTTTTTATCTGTAGTACAAAATAATAAGAGTAAATACAATTTTCGATCCTCAGCAAATTTTACGATATCCGCTTTAGTCCCTAACAAATAAAAAAGTTATTCGTGGTCTCTAAGAAATTCAAAGTGGACCCACTTTAGTCCTTTTGAGGGACTAATATGGGTCTTTTTTGAATTTGTGAGATACCACGATTTCGACTAAATAGATCCATTTTGAATTTTTTAAAGATCGCAAATAGTCTTTTTATTCGCTAGGGACTAAAAGGGCATCGTGAAATTTACTGAGGACCAAAAATAATATTTACTCAAATAATAAAAATACTAAAGGTTCAGATTACCAAAAAAAAAAAAAAAAATACTAAAGGAGAACTTTTCTTCCTCCCTATCTTTTGTGCAAATATGATACATATTTAGTCTAGTTCAAGTACCTTGGGATTTATGTAAAACAACTAATTCAACTCAACAGTCCAAGCTATTAAGTGAATGTCACTTTAATAGTTTTATATTAGATTTCTCTAACATATCCTCTCCCATATCCCATTGAACTTGAAGAGTGAATAATGCATTAGCAACTCAGTTAAGGTGAATAATGTGTAGACTCAGCTAGCTATGCTTAAAAATTTCAGCGTCAAGTATCCTGAACATTGATTTTGTTATCATATTAAACAACTATCTCGTCCAAAAGCTCAAAGGGGTAAGTGAAGATCATTAATCGTTTTTATATTTCCCTAACCGTGCTTGTTAGGAAAACAAAGCTCCTTGTCACCAATAGTTGTCGGTTCAAAATGTTGGGCTTCCTCCTTCAATGCTAAGCCCAAGCCCATTTGAGGGGTTTCCTAAAAAACCCTAACCCTAATTTCCACCTCCTCTATATATACTCATTAGTTGTGGGTGGAGGCTAGGTCAGATTTGAGAGAACAAATTTGAGAGAATTATTTGATTGTTTGAGCAAAAGCTTTAAGCTTTGCATTTGAGAGATCTCTAGAGAGAGTTTGAGTGAAACATCTCTAGGGTAGTTTGATTATCACCATTGTTGGAGAGGTTGAGTTAACCACCACATTGGTGTATTTGATTCGTTGTAACCATTATTTTCATAGTGGATTTCTGATCTGGACTAGGTCCCGTGGGTTTTTTACTTCTTCATAGGAGAAGGTTTTCCCACGTTAAATCTGGTTGTGTTCTTCTTCTCTCTCTCTCCTGTTTTCGTTTTGATTTTTCCGCTGCGCTGCCTGACCTGGTGAAGTTCAGGCTGAGGTATTGTCGAGATCCGAGATCAGGATCTTGTTGATTGACTTCCGCACAAAGGCCCCTGAGCCGAGCTTG